AAAAAAAAAAAAAAAAAAAAAAAAAAAAAAAAAAAAAAAAAAAAAAAAAAAAAAAAAAAAAAAAAAAGACTCAGTCTGAGAACTTTTTAACCCACAGATGAATTAAAGATTTAGAGCAGTTCTCTGTAGAGTAACAGAAGTCGGTAATCAATTAATCCCTCAAAATAGTTTAACCAAGTAATTTCTTCAAACCACTTCAAAGTGCTGTGAAAGTATGCAAAATGACAGTGCAATTCCTTGTGAAAAAATATTTAGTTTATACATTACAAATACAGTAAATGTGAAGAAATATACACCAAAATTGATGATGCAAGTACAAGCAAGATAGGTCCTGTTAATTCCTAGTTGTGAACAGCCACATTACCCCCTTTCAATACAAGCAAAACTTACAAAATGCCATCTTTAAAGGGTAGAACATTTGTGATCAAGCATTTCCTGTGGTTTTCAGTCTGTAACAATGACAGCTCTAAGGGCTAAAAGAGTCACTGGAATGACTAGAAATCCAAAACTGTGTTAATTTAATTTTTTAAATTATTTTTCACTTTCATTAATTGGATCATTTGAATTCTTACTGCTGATAAAGTACATTTTTATAGAATTATGTGCATTAAGTTCATAGCTAATAGAAGGAGAAAAAAACTAAAGTTTTGAAAGCACTAATTTTGCTACCAGGCTGGAAGACTCCCCCCCAAAAATTCTTATTCTCACAGATTAGAAGTTATGACAGAATCAGGCTCCAGAAGTTTGGGCTCCTATGTAAAATCAAAAATGTGACTAGTAAGGTACTGAAACAGAGAATATTATGAGATACAAGACTCAACTTGACATTCTTCTTCCCATTCAGTGAACAACTCTGACATTCACATACAGAACAGAGCTCCACAGGAAAAGAGAGTAACCTCATGGTAACCTTTCCAGCAGCCACACTAAATGCCTTAATAGCCCTAAATAATTGAACAGCATTACTCATAGGTGAACCGTATTCCTGAAGAGAGTTGGGAGAGAATTAGGGGATATACTATCAAGAAAAGAGAACAACTATGAAGCCAACAAAAGGAAACATTGAACATATTATTACTTGCTTACAAAACCCATTAGGTGAGCTTCTACAGGATGTGACAGACAACAAAACCACCCGATTATTCTGTAACGGTCAGATGCCAATAGATATTTCCTTTATCTCAAACTAAAGCATGCAGTAGCAAGAGGTCAGTGTAGTTGCACTCTTAAAAGAAGGTTCTGGTAACATAAAACCCCATTTTCCCAAATCAAGCACATCTGTGTCACTAGGCAGGAATAAACTTCTGCCATTTTACAGCCCCTTTGCAACATTTCTTCTGACCTAACATGAGACAAGCAAAATGCAGGAACCCTCCTGCCACAGTGTGAGGAATGTCAGATACAGAAAGATTCCCTCAAGTTAAGCACTTGCAAGAGTTTTTTGGTTTTTCCTGTCTGGTGAAAAACAATGAGCTAAATTCTGTTGGATAGGTTGGGAATCAAAGACAGGTTCCTGCACCACACAGTGCTTGCCTACATCCAGCAGGCAGAGAGAGTCATAACCTACAGGAGACAAAAGCACTAAGGTATATTAATTCCCTGGGGTTTTTTTTCAGCCTCCTCTACTATTCTGTTGGGAAATATAGAGTAATTTTCTGCTTTTAAACATCTTGTTTAAAATTTCTTTTAAACATTTTATATGCAACGAATCACAGCATCAGTGGCAACAAAGGCGTAAGTGCTTCCTTTATCACTCTGAAAGCAAACAGTAATTTATGCATGCCCCACTGAAAAACAGAGAGATTTACAATGAAATTGGGTACAGTCACATTAACTTATAGATTAATCAAGAGCAGCACAATAAAGCTGTTCTGACTCACCAGTATGTCAGATTTCAAAGTCTACTGGCCCACGCATAGCAAGTGAACATGAGATAAGCCAAACCCATCTCCACCTCAGCTACAGCTTTCAAGACTGGTGCATTATTTTAAATGATAGTCCTACCAGCTCCTCAGTTACTTTATCTTAGCTAACAGCCCTATCCTAGTGAGACAAATCTGATTATGAAGGTAACATGCTGGAAACAGTACTGCAAACTTTTGAAAATCTAGCACTGAAATTGTGTTTTAAGCAAAGTACAAGGGCTATCCACACCCTCTGTACCTGACAAGCCTAGGAACAGTACTCAGGACAGATAACAAACTCCTACTAATGCAATTTTACAGAACACACTTGGTTGCACCCAATTCCATTCAACTGCATCACCCACTACAGAGTTTAAACTGGCCATAATTATGAATAAAGCTTCATTCTATAACCTAAAGCCTTGGACCAAATACTCAGAGACATTACCAATCTCAACAAGCGGCTGTTGATAGAAACCCTTTCATGTCAATATAATGATTTTTCAAGGCCACTTTTGCATGCACTGAAGTTTTTTCAGATACACAGCTATTTGAAGGAAGCCCAGCAGATTTTTCATTCACTCATTTAACACACGTTAACATGTAAACACTATGCTGGAATAGCTGTCAAGCACAGCTGTCAAGCCTTCAGCTTTAAGAATTTCTGTCCTCCTGCCTCTGCAATAAGACTACAGGTCTCCTCCAGATGGTTGCTTGTCCTCTGCTCTCTTCCCCGAAGCCAGCATTTAAACAGCTTCAATCCCAGTGACCTTGATTTAGTTTCCCACTAACCAAATTAACAGCACGACCTGCTGTTAACTACGCACAAAACTATAACCAACCTACAGCAAATACCACTGTGACGCTACTCTTATTGAGAACATTTGCACACTCAAATCTACCAGATAATTAGTGGCGAGGGTCTTAGCACTGAAGCAACTTTATCTGGAACTCACTCAAGTTTTCAAGGCACACAGACAGACCTAACACTCATCATCAGAAAGATATGGATACTTAATTAAAGCAAATAGCAATACCCTGCTAGAGTCCACATCTTGCATCTTGTTCTCCTGCATAGATAAAACGCCCCAGAGGGAGATGGAGCCCTTCAGCAGTGAGACAACAGGCTAACCTATCTTCAACTACAACAGTTAGAGCAGAACTTTTGGAATGTGGATTTAAACATTTTACATTCAAAAACCCCAGAAGGGCAGTCTGCAAAGTGTTTGGAGGACTTGCTACAAGCACACCAGCTATCTATGGATAAGTCTGGGAAAACAAGAACACCGTATTCAAAAGTACCTGAAAACGTAACTCAAGAAAAAAAGCCTGTTCTTGACAACAGCAACTTGCGTTCCTTGTATTCTGACCTGTCATTGAAAACAAGAAATTATCAGCGGGAGCAGAAAGAAATTTGAAAATGATCAGGTTCACATTGGGAGGCACTCAATGTGAACGGTGAATTTCTGTGGCATCCGTCTCCAACATTATCCTGACATCCTGGCAATCTCTAGCAGGTGAATGTCATATCTGATCACAGAAAACCAAGT